TTCAATTGATTATTTCAGTGGAGAGGACAATAATACAAAGAATGTATCGCTGACACAAGCTTCTGCTTCTTATATATGTCTTAATTATGTTAGGTTTCGTTTTGGGGCTGTTTGGGTTTGTTTTTTTTTTTTAGAAATTATATATTTACTATCCTTTCTCTAGTGCAACAGTAACCTAAACCCCTTTTTTATTTTTTGGGTAATGCTGCACATCACTCATATTTAGCTTACCGTTGACTGTGAACTGTTAACATGTCTTAGCGTGGTTTCAAAGTTCCTATGGCAAGGCTAAACAGCATTTAGAAAACAATGATATCCCCAGGCCCGCACTGTAGTTTCAGAAGCACAGATTAAGCATGGTATTCTGCTCAACAAGCTCATCACTGTTAAGTAACTCATCAGAAAATAAAGAGGGAATTATCAAATGGGAATTGCTAAGTAATTAGTTCACTGAAGCAGATGACATACAACTGTTTAAGGGAGGGGCTTCCCCGTTAGTCATATGTCAGAGTAGAGCCTACTAATCTGTAAATAAAAATGCATATGATTAGTGCTATGGGTTTTTAACCACTACTGGTACATGGAGAATAAACTTACAACCTCTTCTAAAGTAATAATCTACCAGGACTTTTTTTTTCCTCTTGCATACAAGTTAATTTTCAAACATTCTGGATCTACATGTTGTCAGCCTATCTGGGGAAAGCTATGAAAACGGGACAGTACCAGGCAAGGCATGTGTCAAGGAGCTACAGAAGAGAAGAAATTAATTTATATTAATTTGAAAAATCACTCTCTACTCAGCTGATAGACATAGCACTGAAAAGGAACCGCACCAGTGGAAAATATTCACTAGCACAAAATTTCAGAGCACAGTAAAGGAGGATTAAGCCTGCTTTTTGTAATTATGCTCCATTAAAGCCTGACTTTCCATTAAAACCTGACTTTCCATTAAAGCCTGACTTTCTCTCAAGTAGCTGGCCCCTCAGAAACGTTAAATTCACAAAACTAGACGGGCCTTCACGAGTGAGTACCTGACAAACAAAAATGTGCCAACAGTCACAACTACACTGCAATACAAGTGAGAAACACTTCAGTATTTGTACTTTTTAAAGAGCAAAGAGTAACTCAATAAATTCTTAAGTCAGGTTTACAGCTAGTGCCAAAATGGGTTGATCACTGCTAAGCAACTGATCATAAACCAAAGAATTAATTATCAAACTTATCAAAGGATGGTTTGCCTCCACCACAGTATCTCACTGCCAAAACCCCCTCAGCCAACACATTCAAATTCAAATGCTGTCACTGGATCTAACTTTCACCCAAAAGCATACCCGTGGTATCAAGGCATGGCAAAACCCAGCAGGGGCAAAACCCAGCAGCACAGCCTGCCCACCACACACAGCCAAAGGAGAGGGGCAGGAGGAAGGCACACAGATGCTGAGGCTTATACACAATCACACATCACATTTAGTATTCTCAGCCCTTTCAGCCCTCAGCACACAGAAGTTATCCATCCCTCTAACACTTTCACTAACATCCGAATGCCCACACTTTAAAGTAATGCTAACAAGTCGCATGCAGCATGTGGGATAACAACCCTCTTGTTCCATCTGCAAATACACCTTTTTGAAACAGGAGTTGGAAGGTGAATCAAACCTCAAGTCATGGCTTGTATCACATTATGAATGTGAGCCTTGTGTTTTTAAGTAGACAGATCACTACACCCAACTCCATTTACACTTTAGAAGGTGTTAGAAAGCTTTCAATCAGTCAAACATCAGACCTTCAGTATCTGATGAGGGAACAGACAAAAATGTGAAAGGTCACAGCTGAGGTGATGAGGTAGGGCTGAAGGGGACCACAAGGCCTCCTTTCTAAGGTGTCAGTCTGCACTCGTATCATTTCATTTAATTTACCTTTGAGTTACACACAAACCAAACAATTTAAAAAATATTATTTCTGATTACTATCCAATTATACCTAGCTCACATCTCCATTCCACCTGTGCTCTTAACACTCTCAAGTATCTCCATCTCCCACCTTCTTTTAGTCCTACAGCCATTGTAGGCCTTCATAAACAGTACAAGAGGGAAGAAATAAAACCAGCTATGATACACTGGACATAAGGACACCGATATGGCAATCAAAGTCACCACTGGACACACTAATATAGAGGCAGATTGTCTCTTTTTATGTTCACTACAAAGTATTTTAAAAGGGCAGATTGTTGTCCATTTACAGAGAGCAGGTCCCAGCAGACTGCATGTAACAGAAATTATGCCTTATGCACAAAATAAGCCACGTTAGGTAGTGCACAGACATATGGAAAAGTCAGAAAAAAAAAATCTTTCAAATGGGCTGCGGTTGTAAATTCAATCTGATACTATAATATGACTAATAGATTCAAGTGACTCGACAGTGGAAAAGATGAAAAAGAACTTTTTAGTTGTTAAAATGTTCAGTGCCTCGCACAAAATCCTCCCAACACAACTGGTTATAAGTAAGCATTGAGTCGTTTGCCTATGTGGAAGAAGGCAGTGCATGCTCTGAATAAGTAACAGTAATTCTTGTTTTGTAGAGCACACTAAAAAATTAATTCAAATCATGATTAAAAAAAGGGTATCTCCAGTTATTTTTATTTTTACTATACTTTGTGTCCTTATTCAGGCAAGATGTTTCAGCAGGCTCTGAAAGAACACTGCTTGAATTGGAAGGGTAAGTACACCTGGAGCTCACACACACAATGGTGTTATTCCCTGAAGCCATGCGATTCCTCATATGAATAAAGCCCTGAATGCACATGCAGGCCCATTAGGCTTTAAGTAAGGTTTCTGAGATCTCACTTTGGATATATTCAAGCATGGCCTATGTTTGGTCCCTCTGACAAACTCTATGGTAATAACACAGGCGTGCCTAAAACAGAGTGGGGCTGTTGCCACCTTCACCCTGAAACAAATGCAAAAGCCAGAAACACAATGGGTCTTATCATGCAATGCTCTATCTTGAGCTGTGAAACCTACCTGTGGCTGCTCCCCTCACGGCAACGGGTCATGTTTCTTTCACGTGTTACTACTGTGATCTCTCTGCCTGTTACATCCAGTGACAGAGAGAATGTTTTCAAGCACGCAGTCTCTACCCAGTAACTTTTATTTCACTTATTTAGCTATATAGTGGTCTTGATTTTGATTGCTCCCTAGGGAAAATGAGAACTAACTAATAAGGCCGCGTAAGTACCCGAAACAAAGTGACTAAAATGTCCAATAACAAGAAAAGAAGCCCAAACAAATCTGATCTAAGGCCCACAGATACAACACTACAGTTCAAGCTGTACTGGTACAAAAAAAAAAAAGCAGCATAGTACTATATTCCTGTTATGCCTCTGCACCAGACTTAACCAGATTATATTTTTTTTATCCGGAATGTTTGCTTAATATCTAATATACTATCTCTCATGCAACCGCAGGAAATACCAAATGCTAAAATATTCCAGGTGACTTAGCAATACAATGTGGCTAACACAATCTGATTATTCATAGGATTTGACCAATACATTATAAACAATTACTACTTCTAATTAAGAAATATAAGCCTTTCCTGGAGTAATCACTTCTGCAAATAAATACAATTTCATACTGCCCAAGCTAATTCCGGAAAAAAAAAAGAAAAAAGAAAGAAATGTCTTGTGGAAATGACGTCCTAATAAAAAGCTTCCTTCTACTCTATCTCCCAAGTCAATAGCTGCTACCAAGTCAGTTTTCTTCCACAACAGAAAGACAAAATGTGTCAGCACACTGGCACTTTGTCTAGTTTTTCACTCTCAAAAAATTCTTATTGCTCCAAAGAGATACAGCAGTTACTATCCACCCCCATCATTCAAGCTCATTTGTAAACCGTAACAGGCATGTCTTTGCATGCAACTACTTGCTTAGACAACTTCCCTTTAAAGCACAGCACCCTTCCCCGCAGCCACGATAAAATGTAAATTATGTGCTGCATACTTGGCTATGATATGCTGTATACATGAAAAGTTATTCTGCAATGGAGACTTTCTGATCAGCCCCTCATAAATAGAACACTATACTAATTAGGTTTTCTGGCTGTAAACAGAAAAAGAAAAATCCTTTGATTTTCTGCAAGTAACCACTACATTTAATTTTCTTTTATTTAAAAGACACAGGCAGTTTCCCTACAACCCTTTATTTTTTTTTTTTTTTTTTTTAAGCATTAGTAGTATTGCCAATCCCAAGCACTCAAAAATCATACAACAGGTCCAAAAAAACAGGCTGGCTTAATGACAATCAGATTAAAGAAATAAAGTAAAAATTTATGTTCTTTTTATTGGCAGTATGATCATTGAGCCTTGAGATTTGGTTTTTTCAAGGTACTCTCCACAACCATATGGGAAGGAGAGAGAGGAGACTGATATATGTGCATTATTACATCCTGTCTGGCTACAGCATTTCGGAGTGGGTGCGGGTGGGGAAATTAGAAGAATCTGAAACATTCCTCAATCCAGAGTAAAAGAGTAAAAGACACCCAGGCACGTCAGTAGTAATTAGTTATCCTGGGAACAGGACAAAGTTTAGTGGTCAGGAGGAACTCGGGACTCTGGAAAAGCCAAGCAGGCAGCAAGCAACTAGAACCACTGAAAACATTTGTAAGAGTATAGGAAGGATTTATACAATTTTACGTGTGGCATTTTACAACAAAAGCAAAGCCTGTAAACTTTTTCATTCATACTATCATATTTTAGTAACTGAGGTGAGCATAAAACCACTCATCTGGAACCCACTGTCCTGTAAGTCATCGAACTGAATCACCAGAGTTAATGGAATTTTTCTGACGAGAGTTTCTCAAGGACCTCTACTGCCAGGCAAGGGAAATACAAATATATCGTGGCTTGGTAATCGGGCAGACACAGGTAAGGTGTGCACACTGATGAAAGCCCAGAGCAGAGAGCGTACACTTGATAGAGGAAATAAAAAGCATTATATTCTCACCTTATTGGCAGTGCATATCTGTATGATGAAGAAAAAAATGAAGGTGGTCACTGTCCTACAGGGGTCAAGAATAAATTCACAGGTTGTATTGCTTGCCCATGTGGCTTGGTCTGCGATGTGACTGTAGATCCAGGAGTTGAGGAGATGAAAACAAAAAAAAAAAAGAAACAAAACGACAGTTAAGAGCCAAACAATTTACAGCATGCTAAGACATCCCAATGAAGACTGAGAGAGACTGCTTTGGCTATTACTGAAGCACAAATAAACTATGCATTTAATCCTGCAGAGCACATATAGTAGAGAGCAGAGCCCACTTATTCAAACTGAGTGCTCTTTTCCTAAATGTAATCTTAATGAGGTGAAGAATCATAAGCAAGTTAAGATGCCTGTCTTCACTGCCAACAGAACATATTTTATTTGAGGAGGAGCATCATCCAGAGAACATACTGCTGCAACTACTACGATTAGGTGGAAAATAATCAGCTCGGGGAATATAACATTACCTTGTGCACATGCTGATGGCATGCTAAGGGTCGATGCATATTACTGCAAATTCCCAAATAACATAAACAAAACTCTATCAATGTGAGTTTTTTCTTCTATTTCTGTATTTATGCTCAGCAAAATTATGAAGAGCCAGCACTGAATTTCTGCTGACATCATATATTAAACAAAATACATTTTGGTTTTTCACTTGGAATCTCACCAAATATTTTTTATCACTCTTGTGACAATAAAAGTATTTAGTGGGACCATTTCTCCCTCATTTTTGTTGTTTCTGTTTATGAACATACTTACTCTTTCCTATTTATGGAAGGACCTACACACATACTCAAGATAGGTTCTTTAATCAGTCCTCATTCAGCAAACCCCCCACTGGGACGTATACTAAAGTAACTGCAGACTGGGACCAATGCACACACACAGATTTGCATGTGTTGTACAACCACCTCAGACTAAAGCTTCGAGGAAAAAAAAAAAAAGAAACCTATCAAGCATTACGTTCTCAACACATGCACTGAGATCAAAAAAGAATCACACTCATAGATCCGTTTTTTGTCTTTTTGCAAAAGTCAGGAGTTTGCAAAGTTTCTTATATTTTAAAACATTAGTCATGCATCAGCTCAGCCAAACCCAAGTGAAAATCTTAAATTTCTTTATATAAAGAATGTGAACCACTGAACAAGTCTCTAAAATACAGTGCCTTTGTCCAAATATCTATTTATTTATTCAGTTATTGCACTTAAGAGTCTTACACAAAAGTAAAATGAAAGGCTGAGGTCAGGATTTTCAGTATGCAAAGCTTAGGCTACCGAAGTGACTGGAACATAGCACATCATTTCTTTGCAATGAAATATTTACCTGTGCCAAGCCTGCCATACTTCTGTTTCCCGTGCCAATTAGACCTTTCTTTGTTAAAGCAGAATGCTTACAGCAGTCTCGGAAGAGACCTACAACTATGTTATCTGCACCCTGTGAATTGCACACACTGTACCTGATCGGTCCTCCACAGCAGCCCCATCATTCACAGCCTGCATGCTTAGCTAAGGCTGTCACAGAGCCCGAATTCCCTCAAGCAGCATCAGCGTGAGCTGCCTCACACGCTGGAGTAGGTTTGCAGCCAGCCAGTGCTTCAGACCATCTATGCAGTTCTGACACACGTTTCCTTTTCAGCCTGCCTTACTCCTTTATTGCATTTCCCCTTCAATTAGCACACCACAACAAAAGCAGCACACTGTATGAGCAATGACAATGATAATCCTGACTGCCATCTACTAAGATGTACTGCTAAACTTCAGCAATGGGAAAATTAGGCCTTGGTTTTGTTTTACTACCTATGTTAGTAAAACGATTCCTTTTAAATACTAATGTTCAAATCCTTAGCTGCTTTTCAGGTGACTGCATTTAAGTGTCTATTTTCTTAATTAACAGGAAACTAGGCCACTGGATCTATTACATAAAAATTTTTGTTAAGTGAAATTCCAGGTCTCTTTTAAAACAAGACTAGTTTTTTTCAACGTTTCTAAATAAATTCAATCAGGCCAGAAGGGCAAGGGAGAAAAGCTGCACTGTTTACTTCCAAAAAGTCTTTTAACTCTGTACACATGGCCTTTTTGAAAATAAATACTTTCTAATGCTCTTAGTCACACAGGTAATTTGTCTTACAATAAAATATGTATAAGCAGCATGCAGCACACAAAGGCTCACTCTAGAAGAGTTGTCCTGCGTGCGATAATTCACTCTCTCCAGCCAGTCCTAACAGGCTCTTCTATTTCAAGATACCCCCTCGGTACAGAGGCCCAAACCGGAGGCGGCCACTTGGAGCAGAGGATATTCTCTCCTAACCAGAAGGGCGAGTTCGCTGAGGCACTGAAAAGCTGCACTTTGGGTGTAGGAAACTGCCCGTGAACTCACTCCCTGTCCCCTTGCCCCTGCCAGGAGAAACTCTGCTGCTCAGCAGGCAGGCTGAGACCTGCAAACTTGTCACACTGACCCCGAGACTGGCAGCTGCCTGGAACCATAAGAGCTGAACCACCGACAGGCATTTCTCATTGCCTCCTCCAGCTCCGGTGCTTTACCATCAGCGCAATTAAAATATCTATTTTACTGAGATATTTCTGGCTTGCATTATGTTCCAGCCTGGTACTACAAACGCTCAGGAGCTGTGGGTGCTGATGATTTCTCATTGAGACATGAAATCTTTCGGGCCAAGTTCAATATTAGTGTAAGTGCACACAAGATTAGTGACTGGAATAGGGGTGTTAACCACTTCTGCAGACACTTAATGTGGCTCTTTAATCAGGCAAAAATCCTATTTAAGCCCACAGTGCTTTTTCCCATAAAAAGATATAGAGAAAATAACAGTGATATGCAGCAGATCGCCGTCTGAGCTCCGTTACTCTACTACATGCCTGGATTAAGTCCAATAAATGGAGTTATTCTAGATATACACCCATGTAAGTGGCTCACAATCCCTTCGCCTGGAGTTGCTCCAGATTTATGACACTAGAGCAGAGTGCCAAATTTGGTGCCTTTAAAAATTTGTTACCTACGTTTGTGGAAAAGCAGCTTAAAACAGTGATGTCCAAACACAGAGAATGAGGACAAATATACATTGCTCAGTTAAATATGTTTTTAAGACCAATACGCAGTTCTAAGCTAATTAGATTGCATATTCTTTCAAGGTACTATAAACTTTGTGGCAGAAAGCCTCTTGTGCTATGGATATAAAGTTCTGATGAGCACAACTGGAAAAAAAAAAAAGGCAAAAGAAATACCAACACTGGAAACAAAGCATTTGCTGAGGAGAACATTTGTTTTAATACTGTATATACTTAGCTTTTTACCGAGAGAAACTAAAGTCAGCTTTCACCTAAAACACAGAAGGGCCTAGACCTTGCTAAGAGTTACAAACAGGCTTAACAAACCTAAGTGACAATAGTGATATCAGGTATCACAGACTTTCATTTTACTGGCCAGGAGGTACAAAGTGCAGTACGTGAGCGCAGAATAACAAGCCTGCAGCCTAAAATGTGAATGGCAACTGTCACAATCTTACAAACAGCCACAAAACAGTTAAACCAGCCAGGGGAAAAAAAAAAAAAAAAAAAAGGAAAAGTGAAGAAACTTTTATGCAAGCTTTTATAAGCCAAAAGTATTTTTACAAAGTACCACACCTTTGTAAACTTGCTAATAATAAACTCCATGGAACTGACAATTTGGCTATAACCTGCTAAGCGTGCCATGCACCGTCCCATCTGCCTGACACTACAGCAGGCAAAGAACACCCTTTCTGAGAAGTTCAGCCATTCCAAAACCACCACTGGCATCCTTCAATTTTCGGCAAGCCCGAGGTGCTGCTTGTGCTGGCTGCAGACCACTGACACGGCTCTACAGGGCACACGAAGGGCTGGAGGTAGTAGCCCTGTAGGTAACCCGCCACCCATACACACACCTGACTGGACGGTGAATACGGTGAATACCGTCTGTTACCATGGCAGCCTGATCTAATTACATGAGTGATCAGGGCTGGAGTAAGCGCGCTGAAAGCCTACACTGCTGACATGTCGCTACATGATGAGAGAGACAGGCAAGCGCGGAGGAAAATCTATCGACCTCTGCCTTATGTAAAAAGTGAGGAGATCGCAGCCACCCCTTTAAAAAACAAACCAATCTGCTGCCCGTAAAATACCATGCTGGTTTTATGACAAATTAGGTGCAATAACGTGCAATTACAACTTACTACTATCTCACAGCATCGCAAAAATAACCCCAGCATAATATTTTGCCCGGCCATTCTCAATCTTCCTCTCCCTCATTCATAACCCTTGCTCCATATCATAAAGCTGAACTGTCTCCATCACCCGAACAGAAATAGATTAACACGAAGCTGGGATTTTCCTTTAGGGGAAGGCTTCATTCGAAACTGAAATTAAAAGTCCTTGACTTCTCGGTGTGTAAGCAGAGTAACTCACTATGTCTGACCACAGCTGACACGTAAAGTAACCACTGCTGCGTAAAATACATAACCATGAACATTAAAGGTTAAAGTGTAACCTGCCCTACAAAAATATGAATTTCTTTACCATATGAAAGGGAAAAGGTCCCCAACAAAGGTCATGTACCTGCACCCTTGCTGATCCGTACACAGAAAGCATTTGTAAAGAGGAAGACTTTACAAACCCGGATTTCTTTGCCTGGGCACAACAGGAATGCCTAAAATTTTCCCCTCAATTCTATCTGGAGTTTGGGCTCACCGGGAAAAGATGCTGCTCGGAGGAGTCCCTATTACACAGCATACGGTAAACAAAATAAAAATAGCCCGTCGCTCTCGTTGTCTACACAGTGCATTATATAACGGGCTTCCGACTTGTTTTCTTTTCTATTATTACTCTTCAGTAATTCCTCCTCTTCAATAACATGTAAATCGCTCCCAATTCCGTCATTTTATTACCACCGCTATTACTGTTACAGTAGGAGCTAGCGTTTTCCAGCATGCTTTAATATAGACTTTTAATATTCTCAGGATTGGCATTAAAGGATTTAGCACCCACAAACGTACGAGGGGTCATTTATTTGTTTTCTGCCGGTAAATTACGATGCCTTAGGTAAGAAAAAAAACAAACACAAACCCCCCCAAGCCCCCACAGCCCAGCCACCCAGCCTGACTCAAGCCAACGCCGGGGCAGCGGGGGAAGGCGGTAGGTGAGCGACAGGAGGGCAGCGGCCGCCACCGCAGCCGAGCGGAGCCCCGGGGCGGCGGCAGTGGGGTGAGCCCCGGCCCCGCTCCCCGAGGCCACCTCGGGCCGTCTCCGGCAGGACCCCCGGTGCCCCCTCACCACCCCGCGTCCCTCCCTCCCGCCCGGCCCCTCCCGCCCCGCTCCCCCGGTCGCCAGTACCGGGTGGCGTCTGCAGCCGGCCTGGGCCCTGAGTGAAGCGGAGCGGGGCCGCTGCCGGGCACATCCCAGCGCCAGCGCCGCCTCCTCCTCCGCCGCCGCCGCCTCCTCCTCGCTTCATTCACCCTCCGGCAGCCGCCCAGCCCCGTACTACATACGCCGTGCGGCGGCGACCGGCCCTGCCGGCACCCGGCCCCGCGCTGCGCTGCGCCCCGCCGGGCCCGCCCGGCGTACACGCACCGCACGGCCCCCCCGCACCGCGCAGCTACACGCGCACACACACAGCCCGTGTCGCCACACAGCACACAGCACACACACACACAGAGCACACACACACACACAGAGCACACACACACACACGCACACCGCACCCGCAGTCCCACACGCCCCGAGGCCGCCGCGGCGAGCAAAATGTCCACCGTCCCCGCGGCCACACACACCCCGCCCGGCCCGAGGGGAGGCGGGGGGGGAAGCGGTGTGCGGCGGTGAGGAAGGAGGAAGCAGGAGGGGAGAAGCGGCGAGCAGGGCTATACGAGCGGCTCAGCCCGCGGGGCCGCCCCGGGCCCACCGCCCGGTCCCCGCTCCCTCCCGCGGCGGGGCGCACCGTGTCCCCACATCCTCGCTGCCTCCCTCGGCCATTTCGCGGCCGCCTCCCCCCTCACTCCCTGGGCCGGGGCTGAGCCCGCGGCTGCGGCGCCTGCGGGCCGGGCCGGGCCGGGCCGTGCTGTGGTGGGCCGGGGGCGGCCGCAGCGAGGCGGGCTGTAGCCCCACGGCGGGGTGGGCAGTGCGCTCCCCTCCCCCAGGCCCCGTGTTTTTCCAGCTGGAAATCGCCGGCGGTCTGCAGTCTAAACAAGGGAAGAAGCGGAGGGGGGAGGCAGAAAGCAGAGGAGGAAGAAAAAGCCACTTACTGTAAAGTATCAGTGGAGGTGGGGTTGGCGGGGGGTGTGGGGGTCAGAGAGAGACTCGCACACAAATGTCTTCCTAGCTGATCACGGGGCTTGGGTCTGCTTTTTTGTTTGTTTGGTTTTTTTCCTTCCCCCTGCAGTGACACAGGTCCGGGATGGCTCCACCACCGTAGTAGAAATGATGTCTGCGGTACAGCGCTCGCTCCCTCTCCGCTCTCCAGCATGTAAATGGGTAATAGAAGCCAAATATGGAGCAGTTGGCTGCCTCTGCAACAGCTCAAGGATCCTACTTCATGCAAAAAAAAAAAGGGGGGGGGGAGGGAGGAGGAGGAGGAGGCAAGGCAACATTCTGGCTGGCGGCCAAGAGAGCCACACAGATTATTGCATACGCACGGCACCGCCGGGCCAAGGCGGCTTAACCCTTTGCGGGTCTGTCGCCGCACGCTGCCCGAGGGAACGGCGGCGGCGGGCCCGGGTCGCCTCGCCTCGACGCTTACCTCCTTCCCCTCGTAACACTTCCAAGGCCAGGCTGGCTCGCCACGGCGGGATTAATCCCGGCGCACGACACTGTTCCAGAGAAGTCCCCGCTCCTGTGGCAGGCTCAGTCGCGGGGATCTCAAAGCACTTTGCAGGCGGAAAGAAATGAGCTGGGGAAGGGAAAAAAAAAAATAAACCCAACCCCAACCTATATTGTTTAAGGAGGGGGGCGAGTGGGGAGAGAGAGAAACAGCTAGTGAAGCGTGCTGTCCTTCAGAAATGGCAGGGAATGCGGGTTTAAAGGATGCGTGAAAATCAGTTGCTCAGTCAAGGCTGGTCTGTCTCTCTCTAAGGGAGGAAATAAAACTGTGCTGGAAGCCAGGGAATGCTCTGAAGCAGCCTCTGCAAGAGTCAGAAGAGGGTGATTTTATTTAAGATGCCATATTGCATTTCACTGAGAGAACTGTGAAGTGATTTAGAGCAAGAGCCTGCATCCCACTCCCTTTTTCTGAATTAGTTTTATTTATCCGGATCCTTGGCATATGCTTGAGTTGCTTTGTAGAAAGTACCTTCCACTTCATTCAGTCCAAAGAGGCTCTGACTCATACCGTCACTGAACTACAAGACAGGCAGGGCTGAACCACGCATGTTTGGGTACTAACTCCCTCTTGATTCCTTAGCATGCATTTCATCAGAGATCCCTTCACATCTCTCCCAGCTGTATGCAGGCCACTGTGAGCCTCTCACAAATGCCCTCCCCCCCCAAATTGAGGCAACTTACACTGCTTCCATCGTGTTCCAGCGTCAACCTGTTACTCTCTTACTCCTCTTAGCACAGGTTTCTGCAGTGCCATAAACTGCAGTGATAGGCAAATAACAAGCATGGATGCAAACTGGAGACCAGAGAAAATACCCTCCTTCTGAACTGGTTCAGTCTGGTATTCAAGTCTTAGAAGAGAAGATAAAACATCAAATTACCAAGCCAGGTACAACTTAGAGAAACAGAGAAATAAAACAAATTATGGAAGCAATGGATGGGGGGAATACACCCAAATGATAGTGGGCTGCTATGCTTGCATACAACTTGACAGCGGTCCATGAAGAGCCATTCATCCTCTGCTTTGACATCAGGAAGGGAGGTGCAGCACAGAGAAAGCCTCTCCCCACCCCAAAGACATTGCAAAAAATGCTGTTATGTACCAGCTCTGTGGATCTGGATGCTGTGGGGTCACAGGCCTCAGAAAGGCCTCAGATGTGAGCTCCCAGTAACATGGCTATCCAGACCAGGCTGTTTGTTGCAGCTTGTACTAATTAGCCATAAGAGTAAGCTCCAAGGTACTGGGTTTCTAGTACAGGTGTATCTCCTGTGTGTCCATTAGCATTAAGTCTGGCATTAGAGTCTAGATGCAAAATACCCTAGGACTCAGCCTGTCATTATGCAGATCAGCAAAGTAGTCCCTTCTATAAATGACTGTACTAGTTCACTGTAATTGCTAAAGAACTTAATAATAACATTGTAAGCTGCAGTGCTCTTGATTTAGTCTTGATACTGTAATATAGACTGGTTCTATGAAACATAAGGCTCTTTTACCACAGCCCCTTCTGCATCTTTAGTTCCGGTGCACTATGAAGTCCAACATCAGTTGCCATTCTACGAGTTGTCTGGGGACAGAAGCAGCAACAGGCCAAGATGTCTGGACAAACGTGCCACTCAGCACTATGAGGCAGTGAACCTACAGCAGCAAAGCAGACAGCAAAATTATCTTCACCCAGCTAATGCAAGGTTCATTGATTTAATAAAACGAACCAAGGGAGAGAGACAAACCAAAGGAGATTACTGAAAAGCAAGTGAAAGCTGGGGACAAACTACAACCCCATCATCAGTGTTCAGTTCTGAGTACACAGCATTCTCTCATCTGCCACCTTTTTTATTCCAGTTGTACAGAGTGTTACCTCAGGAGAAAGGAATCTTTCCTTCTCAAATGCTCACCTTGCCAAGAGGTGTGGCACACACAGAGAAAGAGAAGCCACATTCATGCTGAAGCAAGCTTTGGGCAACTTTCCCTTCTGCAGCAGGCTCATGTAAGAGACTTGTGTGTTCCTCCACTCTGTGGCTATGGTCTTTGCCACAGGACATGCATTTTTTTGACACACTTCAGGTTCTAGGCTTTGTAAAAGCTTTGTAAAAGCTCTTTATGTTTCTGCTTCAGAGTTGAAAAGAGACCCCTAAAATACAAGTCCATTGTAAGTCAAAGAAATACTGTTTTCCTGAGCCAGCTTGAGGCCTTAACCCAGGGCTTTGGGAAGTGCCACAACTGCCACCAGCCATGGCAGGTCCATAAGCCATTCCTCACCTATGTTTTGACTATATATATGTTGACTGCATTAACAGATGAGAGCTGAGGAGACTATGCCTCCATGGACATTGCCTGACACACAGGATATACTACCATATCACAAGACATCCTTGTGCCTCTGCAGCTGCCCTGCTGAGGGCCTACACTGGGGCTGAATATATTCTCTGCACAAAGAATACCACAAAATAGAGAGGTGCTAGTGAAGGGAAAGGGGTTGGGAAACAGCACGTGAACATGACCTTTGCTGAATGGCAGGGACAGAGGTCCTTCATTATCTATTAAGGCAGTGCAGCCTATTGACCCAGAAGTGCAGAACTAAGAACAGAAAGTAATTTGCTGTGGAAAGTAGATGTGATTTTACCCACCACAAGGATAGTTCAGACAACAGGAATAAAGAGCAGCAACTTGGCACTGAAGCAGTCAGGTACTGCCCAAGGGCTGCAGTGCACTCTCAGAGAAGCTAAGAGCCATCCTAATACCCATCACCTTGCCCCCTTTGAGGAGAGCATATAGCAAGGGATGCATACATGAAAGTAGCAGCAAAATTCCAAAACACAGCTCTTACATTGCAGACTTTCCTGCTTCTGGGGAGACAAAAAGAGCAGAGATACGCTACAGCTGCTAGTCAGCTGGTTGAGCACAGTACGGACAGAGGCTCTGACACCACATTGGTGAGTGGGACACGAGAACCCACATTGACTCAAGCAGTTTTATTTACTGCTGGTGATGTGCTGAAACTGATACAACTCTCAGCTGAATACAGTCTTGATCAAAAGATATTAATCAATTTGACATGCAAGATGCACACTGTCTAAAAGAACCTGTCTTTCAATCCACTAGCTGTAATGTCATCTATGCTGCATATTTTATACAATTAGTAGTATCTAGGAAAAACAGAGGAATAGGAGACATAAGAAGTTGGACTTTTATATTTTTCAAACTTTCATATTCAGGGAAATCCAGTGATTGACAGTGTATTGAGTGTGAAAAGTAATTTCACAATTATTGATCATTACAGTCTTAAGTATTCAGTTTGTCTTAAAATGACATTGTTGGTCTCATTACAGCCTCTAGTGGACAGTAGTAATCCACTTCACAGACCTGTCATGCAATTTGCTCAACTGACAAGGATTATCAAGGTGGAGGTTACTCCAAGAGAGCGTGAAAATACAGTCATTCTTATCCCTGGCAAAAAGGATTTTTTAATATAATCAAAGGTTCGCCATCATTGCTTGTAAGGTGCCTTACTTTACACTTCATGTATTAACACTGGCTTGTAAATAAACAGAGAACTTCTGCTATTCATTTCAGTTTCAGACAGTTTTCATGAAAACTAAATTCATCTCAAATATTTTTATAACAGAAAATATTGGTTGCCATGTTTTTGGCTTAAGTAAGATGTTTTTATTCCAATTCAGAATCTGCCGACTGTCCAATCCACCTCCTATCTATTTATAGCCCTCTCACATTCAGATAATTTTTGCTAATGCAGTTATTTTCCTTAATATTTAAACCATATGCAGATGATTTAAGGTATTTTAACAGCTTTAACAAATGACAAACTATAATTTGGATTACAGCTGGCTAATTAAGGTATGCTTTACTTGAGGAAGTTAAAAATGTACACTATCTGAACAATAATATATTTGGAATGTATTCTTTAACTTGAAGTGCCACTTGTCTGAACATAATAAAATATGACTAACGTCTTTATATTTTGTGGATTCACTTAGACATTAGTGTATCGCCTGTCAGAACAGGCGTTTTGATGATGTTATCCAGAACTCTGTGATTGTTTTCAGATGGAAGGAAATTAAATTGGTAGACACAGAGAGCCTGTGCTGTCTCTTTAAAGCCACAAGTATCTCATGCAAATTAACATTTAGTGAAATGAGAGTAAAGCATTCATGAAGAGTAAGCAAGTATGTAGTACTACACTGTGACTCAAAGAGAAAAATCTTTTGGTCTAAAATGCTGAGGTCCTTTGTGAATGAATTCAAAGGAAAGGCTAACGTTAATTCTTTATCTTACCACATTGTGGCTAGGCATGGGGTGTAGAGTCACTGAACAAATCATTATTTATCGTGCCTTATATAGGTAGTAGGCTATTTAGGTAAAAAAAATGTTTACCTTATCATTGTCTTGATTTTACAAAAGAAGCAGTCAAGTTCCTCTTTAAATAACAATGGCTTCAATAGCTTTAAAATAACAATGCGTCCTTAGATGGAGATCTGAAATAAGATGCTTTTGTTGTTGTTTTTTTTTAAACAGGGAAAGCAATTCATCAGGGGTTTAAGAAAAGTGATTATTCCTCTGAAGTCTTAAAATCAAGACTGATTTGGTCTTCTGAGTAAGCTGTCAGTCAGTTACAGGTCACTAATCTGGAAGGAAGACCAGGATGGCCGCACTAGGATAGACTACAGCCACAGTTAGCCCTAGAAGTTGTTCCAAGCAATGACCAGTGGAAAATAAAAGTGCTAAGCCCTTCTCTAGAGGTGCTCAACTGGTCTAGGTGCCTCTCAAGTAATAACTATTATGACTGGTTATTTGTTTTATGGCCTGTGGTCTTTAGCTGTCTGAGGTCTCAATCCACATCCTGGTCCCCACATATCTTCTCTGACACTGCAACTACCCCTATGGCTGGTGTGAACAGAAGGGCCAAGCACAAATGGAAACCAAAGTGCCTTCTTATTCCTAGAAGCAATCACTTTGTTTTGGGGTCAAAGTACGGCAGCAGGGCACAGAGGGGAAGGTGTCAAGGCAGTGCTGTTAATGAGGATTAACATTCAGCCAAAATGATAGTGCAAACCTAAGAAGAATTCACAAGCCACTTTCTGGGAAAGAGCTCTCAGCTGCTAGCAGGGAGCAGCCAGAGGTCACAAGCCCCTGTAAGAGACACATGTTGTACCTTTAAATCATACCTGGTACAGAGACTTATCTGGAAGTTCTCTTGCCAGTTTTTTTCTGTCTGTTAAGGGCGTTATGGTCTAGACAGATTAGATTAGCATCTATCATGTAAACACTTAGGGTTGGGAAATAACTCTTGACCTTTCTTAAAGCATCTTACGCCTGCATATAAGGCAGTGTGGTTTCTAAAGCCTGTTACAGTCTCTCTGATCAATGCTATGCTTACTTTGGTATGTGCAATAAGTTTTTAGGGGAAGAGGGAAATGGGCTTAGAATGGGCCATGTAGCTGTTTGAACTGACCCAGGAGCTGAAAACATGGATTTTTGACTCCTAAGTCCTTTAATGGCCTCAGCTGAGGTGTTCTGGTCTATTGAACAAATCCTTCCTACCTCATGGATCATTGACCTACCAGACCTTCAGAGCCAGTGTGCTCAATCCTGCTGCCAAGCCTGACTGTTTTGTTCACATGCTAAAAATCTTTATCTTTTGTTGAGAAAAAGTGCAACATATGATTAACAGCTATTTTCTACTCTCACTGTTTCTACCTCTTCACAAAGTACAATACCCACAGGTATTTTAGGCCCCAAAGCTCTCATGCAAATTCAGATCTGAAGTTTACCAAATTCAGCTAATAGCAGTAAATCTGGTCTTATGCCTTGGTTTCAAGACAGAGATAAGCTGCTATATGTCCAAGACCAGAGTTATTTTGTGTCCATATTTTCACTTTACTGTCTAAAATAAAACTAATAACTAATACAGTATTAAACAGAAATAGAATAATAGAATCACAGAATGGTTTAGGCTGGGACATTAAAGATCATCTGGTTCCACTCCTCTGCCATGGGCAGGGACACCTTCCACTAGAGCAGGTTGCTCAAAGCCCTGTCCAACCTGGCCTTGAACACTGCCAGGGATGGGGCAGCCACAGTTTCTCTGGGCAGCCTGTGCCAGTGCCTCACCACCCTCACAATGAAGAATTTCTTCTTAATATCCAGCCTAAATCTACCTTCTTTCAGTTTAAAGCCACCCCCCCCTTGTCCTGTCACTATATGCCCTTGTAAAATGTCCCTCTCCAGCTTTCTTGTAGGCCCCATTTAGGTATTGGAAGGCTGTTGTAAGGTCTCCCCAGAGCCTTCTCTTCTTCAGGCTGAACAACCTGATCTCGTTTAGCTAGCTTGTATTCTTAAGAGGTGCTCCAGCCCTCTGATTATCTTTGTGGCCTCCTCTGACTCATTCGAGCAGCTCCATGTGCCTTTTGAGTTGGGGGGCCCAAAGTTGGATTCCGTACTCCAGGTGGGGTCTCAAGAGAGCAGAGTAGAGGGGGAGAATACAGTAATACAGAATAAAACAGAATACAGATAAATACAGTAATAGTCTTGAAATATAGGCCTCTTCTACACAGAAAAGAGGTGTATTTCTTTGTTTTCAGAAGATATTGCATGCCACAAAACTGCAAGTCACCTGTAGCGCAGGGGTAGCAAGTTTGAACGGTGCATAAACATCAAAAATTTAAGTGGGAGAGCTTTGATATGAAGAAATTGCTATATTTCCTTAGATTTGGCACATAGTCATGGTCAATTGGAAAATCCTCAGGCAGAGATGGACTGCAGGCATGACAGTGAATTGCCTAGAGGGTAAGAAGTCCTCAGCCTGCAAGGCTTTGACCAACAACCTAGTTGAGCATGGTAAACATTTACCTTCTATCTGATTACAAGGTGAGGGGGTATTTTTCCTGTTTCTTCTGAAAGGTCATAGGGATATGTCCAAACAGCCCTGAAACTAGATAGTTTAAAAAAAAATATGTTCTGGGAAAAGTGACAGAAGACCTGAGGTAGGACATGACTTTAAATCAGAGTTATTTCTGCTTATGCAGACGATCTCATAACTAGTCTGGCATCACTTTAACTTATTACTGCACACAGGCAGTAATCTTTCCTTCAGAGATTTTCCAGATACTTATGTTCTCTCTTTACCCTTCAGCAGAAGCCTTTCTACTAAAGGCAATAATTGTTCCTGCATTGGCTAAAATGTCATATCATGTATCTTTCACCCTGCCCACATTTTCCACAGGAGACCTCCCATTTATGCCTGTCTTCCTACTTTGGATCTGCCTACCTATCATCATCATATGATATTATTCATTTATTTGTACCTAAGGTAATGAAAGATACCCGTTGAAAGCTCTAGAAACCCAGGCACATGCCACAATTACAAGAGAAAAGCAACAGTGTGAAAGCAATTTTCTCAGAAGGAATTTAGCTGGGCACCTAGGTACATCAGAAATACCTGCCCACTGGAAGTACATCATCAACCTTCTCCCAAAGTGTATCTTTTGCCATGGGGCCTCTCCAAAGTGGTGAAATTCAAACCTTTGTGAAGTGTAGGTTCTATTACAGGGATAGACTCACTCTTGTATGGATTGTTCTGCTGTGGGGTCAAGTATAACCAAGAGAGTGGTGTAGGCCTGTTGTGACAGGACCCTTACATGACAAGCTGTTCCTACTCAAGAGATGCTAGTTCTGAAATGGTTCCTTACTATAGGTTTTTCATGGTTTATATTCTCATCTTCTTTGTGTAACAGGATATAGGAATGGCCACACAGTGGCCATAGGATAGCAGTGGTCATAAGAAGACAGTAAAGGAGATATAGGCATTATATACTACATACTCTCCAGCCTCCCACTATTTTCAGCTTAAGAGACTTTCTGAACAGGATGTAGTTTCTGCCTGTTCAGTAACCCTCAATGGATTTATCTCCCAAGATTTGTACAGTCTCCTCCATCAGCATGTATAAACCATAAGCATCCACAATCTGCTATGTCACACTGCACAGGTCAAGTCACTGATGCAAGAACAATCTCTTCATCTTGCCTGTTTCAGTGTTCCCAGCTCTTGCACTAAGCCAGAGAATGGCCCATACTCTCCATGCTACCCAGAACTTTGCAGACATCTATCATGTTCCCCCTTGATTATCTTTTTTCCAAGCTGGAAATGTTGTTACACAAACCAGTCTGTTAAAGACTTCACTGCTTCTGCCACAATTCTAAACTGGTTTTGAGACCCTGTGTCTTGGTCTTAGTCCTGTGACACCTTCACTCCTCCCATTCTTCTGCCTGTAGAATCGGGATAGTAAAAAAATACCCTTTTATCTTGTGGAACAGTGGTGACACAGTACAAGTATTATTACTATTAAAGCAATTACAGAATATTCTCTTTTCCCAAGGTTTAGCCAAGGACTCATAAAAGCAACAATTCCACATATCAAGGACAAGAGAAAACATTATTAACTAAACAAAAATAAACCCATGATCCTATCTACATTTTTTTCATACTTGTTTAGCAACACAGACTGACTAAAGCCCTTCTTATTCCATAAACTATCTCTGTCAAGCAACCCACTCTGGTGTTAAAAATCTGACGGGATAGGACATATCCCACCAACCACACACTTATAGGCATAACAGGTCTGAAAAATATGACATGCTACAAAAGTGGGATTACCAGATGGTTTTCCTGCTGTTTAATCTGTCTCACCCCTTTCCATGATGCAGTTCATTTCTTAGGACATAAATGTTAAGTCATTTCTCTCCCTTATTTGGCCCGTCTTCAGCAGGGTGTGTAAACTTGGTGTCTGATTTAAGGTGTACAAGTTGTCCTATAGTCTTAATGATTCTGAATCATACATTTAACATTAGCTACGTGCTTGAGGGTATGTCTTTGTGAACATGTTACGGTGAGGCAGTCAAGGGTGTGGATTTACAGGACACCAGCTCCTCTGCAGTAACTGCACGGATGAGCACCCTTTGCCTGCTGGTAAATGCTAAGTGAGTAGCCCAGAAAGAGGCACAGCGAAGATCATCTCTGCTTCCATACAGTCAGCTTTTGCTGCCATTTTCTGCATACTTTTGCCAGTCTGTCCCCAGCAGTAACACTATGCCCAGAAGTAAACACAGAGGCACTACCACCTCCCTCACCTCAAAAGGGATCCACCTCCAGACACAGCTCAAAGCATACTTTTTTTAATACACCCCCATAATCTTGCAAACTGAAGTCATTTTTAAGAGGCCTTGTCTCCCTTGCTGCATTACAGCTTCAGCCCTTCTTTCAGGTAGCATATATTCTTTGCAGAGTCTTCAACATTTATCACAGGTGACTCCTCTAATTCTTGAGCCCCTTTAGTTCCTTCCACTGGTTAAAAATGTATAGCTGGGAGTGGGGAGCAGGGAGGGTGGGAAATCACAAGCAATTCCTCAAATAATTCTCATAGTCAAACCATGTGCCTAGTGTGGGAGGAGGGGGACAGAGCTTGGGAGTACTGTATCCAGTGGTTGCTGTCCCAGAGATACTTCTGAGAGCCTGTAGGGATTGTTACAAAAGGTATATACTTCGCAGGGTCCTGCACAGAGTTTATCTGCTGTACAGAAATTCCTGCACAGTTTACATCTGCACAAGCCTCAGTGTTGTCTCTCACTAGAGTCCGTTCAGAGTACCAGAGGTTCCCAGGAATGCTCCCAGAAGCTTTTGGCTCAGCATGAGTCACTAAGTTGAGGGGTTTCTTCAAGTCCCTTGTAGCGATCATCCTGAAAACTGCAGAGGAGAAGCTTGCAGGCTCTGTCAGAGTTCTTGAAAGGTTCAACTTATACAGGAGTCATGGCTTGACCTCCAAAAACATTTATCTGAATGAACCAAGACACATTTATCTCAACCTTGCACACATTTAAGGTTTCTCCAATGAGATCACAAAATCTGTGAGATGTAGCTGGAAATTAAAGCCTTCTCATGAAAGTTATCCCTTTGGTGATTTCCTAAAGTCTTTTTTTATATTGTAATAATCCCTTGGATCCCTAAATGAAGATTAATTCCCCTTTCCTGTCTGAATTAGATACTTAAATCACTTATGTAAGGGCAAGTTTCCTCCTCCAGCAGTTTACAACGTACACACACACGTTATGTTGTCTGCAGTACAGGATGCACTGAAATACTCCAATATTTGATATATCTCTAGAACAGTTAACTCCTGAGGAAAGACTGCATTTTTGAGACCTGCTGATTTTTCAGAAGTAGCAAATGATCAGTGGGGCAAAAAGGTAGATTTCTCCAAAGGGGAAATAACAGTGTTCTTAGATTAACCTACAAGAATTAGAATTTCCCAGAAACAAAAATGAAAGAAGAAATTCCAACAACCATCAAGCCCCTTTATTCTGCTTTTGAAGAACTGTACCCTGATATTCCCTATTTACTGTGCTTTCTGAGGACTTGCCTATCTTTTACATATTAGCATTTTTAATGCTTCTTACTAGCCAAAATATTCATTGGGTTTCTTACGTTCCAGTATGTTGCTTCCTCTGAATCTGCGACTCCTCTAGCAGCACTTTTCCCTAATAGCATGTTGAATTCATGTAGTTTACAGTCAATGGTTCCTAGGTTCCTTTTAGTGCTCAAATCTTCAGTGGTAAGAAAGGTAAGGTAGGAGCATTTACCAGCTTGAACTCTCTGCTGTCTGGACAAAAACAGACCAAAATTTGGTTTTTACTTATTTCAGGACTTCAAACTATCGGCCTGTATAATTAAAGTTGGGATTGTTAAATACACTGAAAATATATTTACCTTGCAAATGTTTCACCTGTCAGTTATTCTACTTCAAACTCTTCAGCTCTGTGGTGTTACTATTTTGTTTTGATTTGATGTTTGTTCCTTTTAAACTAACCCCAAAGAATTTCACTCTCACCCATTGTGGTTATAAAGCTGTAGTTTGTTGGTATTGTAAATATTTGTGATCTACAACTCTCTTCTACTCTTCCCAGCTGTATGTGTTGATTAATAGTCCTTCTGTACTGATATTCCTTTTAGGGGACTTAGGAATGCCCACCAGATAATCATCTCCATCACTTGGTAACACTGCTGCTGGTCTGTTGTATAACTCTTGTATAGGGACTCTTGGTATGTAAATACTCCCCTTAAACTTCATATTTTGTTTCAAGGATAAGCCAAACCAAAACAATAACAAAACCTCCTTTATTTTGCATGTTGGGAGCACATGCCATTAATATTAATTAATTTATTTATTTAAAGTTGGTAAAAGAATTTGCTCTTAGGCTGGGAATGTGACTGCCAAGTTTCCTGCCTGCAATTTGTTACGGCTCAGTAGTAAACTCGTGAAAATAGGAATTTGAAATGGAAATAGTGACAGGCCTTTTAACTACACTATAATAAGCAGGGTGTTTTATCCTGCATACTGTATGTTGTTACACAATGGCAGCCTATCATAATGTGCACGGAAAACAAACAGGGTCTCTTTAGATTGCTCTCCTGGCTAAAACTGGGCAGACAGAGGAAGTAAAACAGGCTGAAAAGACAAAAGACTAGAAGGTCAAGAACACCACACCCAGACCTAAGCCCTTCTGTTAACCCAGTGGAGCACAGGGATCTTGAAGAACTTGTGCTTGAATAATTTGTCTTTGATCAGCTTGCATAAAAAAAAGAGGTGTAGTCTGTTACACTGCTAAAGGGGGTAAAGAAGGAGACTTTCCCTTAAGTCTTAAGCTGCAAATTAATGTAGCCAGGCGTACCCTGTTATGAAGAACAAAGCTCCAAAAAGTATCTATTTCTTGCAAAAGTTTATCTGCCTATAATAGTACATTCCATGTAATTCTGCATATATAAAACACATTAAAGCTGGTTTGCATACTAGCTTTCAAGCACCAGTTGTAAAACATAATTTTTCAGAGTTGAACATCCAGAGCCTTAACCAGTCGACTGAGTTTCTCCAGATTTACACCAGTGTAAATGTCAGCAGTGCTACATCTTTGCGAAAATAAAATACTACTATTATATTTTACAAGGCAGTTGGTAACTAAGAGAATAACTGAATCACATGTACAAAACAATCTCTGGGACTTGAACTGAGCACTTCTGGTTTGTAGCACACATGCTTAAATGCCGTATATTGAACTGCCACATCATGTCTATTTTTACTAATTGAGTTTACTTACTTGTGTTTGGGCACCACACCAGTTATTCAGCAAGTCCAAGAGATTAATGTAAAAGCCTCTGTGTTTAGAAAGTATAGGCACCCTAGATTTACAGCTGCTTAGAGGGTGGCTGACTACTGATCCTGATGTCTTTGAGTAACAGATGGTTTTGTGAGCTGCACAGATAATGAAAACAATATAATTTGCCTCTTAACGTTAAAATAAAGCAGAGAGGCAGAACAAAAAGAGAAAATGTAAATAATGTATTCACGTTCAACAGATAGCATACCTGCGCATGGGGAAGGGCTGGAGGGAAGCCCAGGTAAAACTGAAGGCTATCAATAGCCTTCAAAACTTATATGAGGAAAAACTTGCGTAAAATAACCCAGCCTGATCTGGACTGTGAAAGCATTGGCCCCTGTAACAGTGGAATTTATAGCTTTAATCTTCTTAAGAGCTGCATGGCTCTTCTCACATGCGGGGAAAACAGATTTGATGTTTCTGAGATTAAAACTACTGAGCTGAACTTTGCTTGATATTGGCCAGAAGCATTTGGAAACCTAATAAAGCATTCCATTAAAATCTTGGCATTTTAGTAACACCAAAGAAATAGGCTTCTCAAAATGCAACTCCAAGGCAAAGGACATGTTTTTAGGGGGGAGATTGTGGAATTTGGATTTTAATGAAGTTTGCAATGACTTAAAAATATATCATAGGAAACACGAGGTAGAATGGAACAATAAATGCCTGATGCAACTAGCAATGTACAGTTCTTCATTACCTGAACTTCATTTTATTTGAAGACATTTTTTCATGTTCTTCTAAATTTCATACTTCTGTGAGTAGCTGGAAAAAGTACAACACTCGTCATGAACTAGCTGTGTGGTCTCTAACAGGTAACGTAAGGCCTGATTGCTTAGACCTATGAGGAACCACAACCACAGCTGCGATCAACGTGAGCTGCTTGTGCTCTGGACTTTAGATAATCACCTTTACTCCAAAAAATAATGATAAAAAAATAGGCTAGCTAGCAGTTAAGGCTGGCTAGGCTACAGTTTGAGCTGCACAGGAAGCCCATGCTGAACACAGCTATGCATCCATAATCAGTACATGATTTGATTTGATCTATGAGGGGACAACTAATTTTTCTGTAGAAAGAGGCATTATACTCGTGGTGATGGTATGATCTATGAGTTCAAAGCTGCAGCACAACTGACAAGGGTGGTGATCTTGTCAGTAGTGGTAGAACCTTGTACAGCATCATTTGGGCAAATGAGACGAGAGCTGCACTGTTGAGAGCCCTTGCTTGCCTTCTCCACCAAGGTACAGAGAAAATGAGCTTCATAAACTACTGCTTTTACTGTGCTCTGCAGACAAACAAAGACACAAAAATTAAGACATTAAATCAAGCATAAAAGAAGTAAAGCTTCATAATCAACACTGACATGCCTCTTGCGAGGGTTCATTGAAGAAGTTTGGGGTTTTGTCACAAGGTAAACATTAATTCCAATATGCTTTGAAATGGCTTGGTCCTGTCTGTACTGGCAAAGACAGCCATGAAAGCTATGCTAGAGTTTGCCTGCACGCAGTTATATCTAATTCAGATTTTCCAATTACAGTCTACTTATAGGCTGTCCTATAAAAGCAGCAAGTACATAGGCTATCTGCTGAAAAGCTTGTGGTTAAAACCCTGGGAAGCCTGTAGTGATAATCAGGTAACGATCGAATGCCTACAAACAAATTTTAGCTTGGATTTTACCCCACCCAGAGAACCAGAGCGTTGAATCTGATTGCACAGCTGGTGTGAATGAGTCCTTCACAGGTAACTCAGGCTCATCCCACTGTAGATGACCGTGGAGAGTTCACTGATGCAATTCCATTTTCTGCCCTTTCAAAAGAAATTCCCCTTTGCACAGCTGAACACTGCGGGGTGCTCAAAAACTGGCCGCTAACGTGGCTGGTGTGCTTTTTTTTTGGTGTTGCTAACATACGAAGAGCTATCTACTGTAACAGATGCTCTCTGAGTGTAAAATAATAGCACTCAGACTTAAACTGTAAATTACAAACAATCCTTCTCTAACTAAAAATTGAATACCCAGAATGGGGACTCTTGTCAACTAAGATATTAGTAAATCAAGCTGAGGAAGATAAATTATTCACTAAAGCTAAAGTAACTAAAATTTTATTCAGTAAATGCTACTGTCAGCAGAGTTCTTTGCTATAATCAGTAGATGAGAAAGAGAATAATTACAAGCAACACACAGTAAAATCAGTTATGTGTTTCCTTTCTGTGTAAAAGCAACAGAAAGTGTTTCCATCCTTCCTTTTTATTAATTTCTATTGGTAGAAAAGATGCTATATAAATACTACTGGTACGGTGCCTGGCCACATCAAGGCAGCCATTTCCAAGAGGTTTTGTAATTATGTTTTCCCCACGAAACCACACACAGGTCCATGAAGTAAAAGTGACCTTGTTGGCCTAGTGGTGCAGCTGCCATGTATTTGATTACAAACTTACTATTACCGATGCCAAGGAGGGGAGTTGCAACATAAACTGAAAATGAGTTCAAGCATAGCTTGCTGCACAGAATGTCCCTGGTAACCTGGCTGCAAAAAGCATTCGACACACAAAGATGATTGGAGTTTTTTTTAACCTTTAAGGAAAATGCATTCCTCCTGTCCTCGCTGTCTGTTAATGAAATCCTGACACAAAGTTCTCCAGAAGCATGTGCTCAGGGCAAATACCCAAGATTACAAGGTCTGCACCAACACCTCTGGAGTACCTATGACATCTGAAATCTAAAACCTCTTCAGAAAGAACATGGAGGAATAGGAGGGAGCATGGGTAAAGAGATGTACACTGTGTTACTTAACATGGTCCTGCCCCGTAATGGCAGCCTCTCAGGAATTTCTGAACATCATGGTGGGGATGGTGAGCACAAAGCTGGCCTTACCAAATGCATGCAACTGCCCATCACCTGCATGAAGGGTAAAATGAATTAGCAGTTCATTATTTTCTTCAGCATGCACTGAAAGACATTTCTGTGCTGCTTAGATCAAGGTCAAGCTTGCAAGGCCTGATTCTTATGACTTTGGAAGAAACAGATATGATGAAAAAGAGTCTAGCAGCTATCTGCAGGCAGGATTTAATACCTTGTCTTTGATGAGGCTCCTGGGTGGGAATTTCCAAATTCCTCTGCATGACAAATGCAGCCAGGTGTTATCGCATGCATTTGCACTGTCTGCATCTCCTACAGTACCGGGTGCTAGAACCCAAATGCCAGAGCTGAACAAAGGTACATATGAGTAAAACTGCCTTCTGTAGGTCTCAACTGCATGCACTAAGGAAGCAGGACTAACTGAATGGCTGTTTCCTGAGAGCCGAATTTACTTTCCCTGTCCTGCATTAAGTAGTGAAGCAGGAACCAACCCCATCTGTTTTTCCAGTGCTAGTTCAGGGCAAGCCCAGAGGCATAGTTTGGGTGCTCAGAGAACTTCACAGCATTAAAAGACTTAGCTCAGGAAATGCTAAGGGTAGTCCTGCCCTCCAGAGCCTGACAAAAGACTGTATGCATGCACTGAGGAAGGAGGCTCCCTCTGTTGCACAGAGCTGGCTCTGTGGCTCTTTCCCATTTCCTTAGGGACCCAGGGTATTTGTATGCGAGCTATGATGAAAACAGATCAGTTAGCATGCAAGGGGACCTGATAGTAGCAGTCAAGATTGCTTTAGGTGACATAGCAAAAGGACCACTTGCCCTGGCCCCTCAGACTGCCACCACCCTCCTGTATGGGATCCAACCCACCCGCAGGTCAGGTGATGGGAAGTGCCCTCAATTTCCACTCACTGTAGCTGACAAGTGAAATGAATCCATTAGTCTCATTTTAAGGCACACTACAAAATCACTGTGCATATCTGCCACGATGGGCAGCTTGTGCCCATGATGCAAGCTAAACCTAAAACAGCAGAAGGATCATAAAATAAGGATTAAAGTTCAAGAAGGAAGCTGATAATGAAGAAGCCTGCCCAGACTATGCCCGATTCTAGCCAGCGTTACGTTATCTTCTAATTTTAGAACAGCTGAAAATTTTTCCCAGACCAGAAGTTGACAAGAGGCTGAGCAACGCCAGTGTCATTAAATCTTTGTTTTCAGGCACAGTGTTGTCTCCACACTGCAAGAAGTTGTTTCAGCATGTGAAATTTTACAGGAAGGCACACACTGTCGGTGGATGCCCATACAGGGAGCTATGTAATATGCTGAAACCATCTGGCATTTCGCGGTTTTGCAGTATCAGTCAGACGCACTGTCTGGAAACACAGGGCTCAAACCCAGAGTCCTTGATTCAGGTCAGATACCTACAGACGCCTGTGGACATTTGGCCGGAGTAAGAGCTGAAGAATAAAGCACTTAATTAGGCGGCTGAAGTTTCTGATTGATTTCAAGGCCAGCCAAGCTAGAAGCCTATTACTGCTTAGGAAGTTTTAGTAAATGCAATTATTATGGCACGTTTGATATAATACATGGACTTCATGAAATGCTCCAAAATATCATTATAAAGACTCATTCTGTTGCAGTTATGCTTTGTACCTTCTGACTAAGGAATAGGCCAGCTGACGTGAATCCCAATGTAAAGCTTAGTGAAAACTACCACTAAAATTAATAGAGCATAGTTACAGAAGAATATTTTGTATAGAATTACCCTCTCTGGAGTGTGAACAATGCTGCTGAAAGCAGGCTCTGGGTTACATTATTCCTGTAATCCAAATTTTTTAACCAGCTGATGTCACTAGGGAGATTTGAAGTCTTTATAATTACCGCTCAAGGCCTAGAGGAAGGGGGGAGGAAAGACAATGAAATTATGTTTCATATGTTGATTCAGAGAGTAACCTGCAGTGGCCTGTTAACTTGTTTCATCTATCGGGAAAAGCAAATTAATTCTGTATCCAGTTGGTTTTATGACTGGCAGCTCAATTTGCTTTCCCAGTTAAGCAGGGAAGAAAGTGGCCTTTTGTCACAAACAATTGCTTCCTGCAATGCTGCAGAATAAGATGTAAAATAGGCAAAGAGCTTCGGATACAGCTTCCAACGTCCTACTAAGAAGTAAAATTTCTTTCATCTTCCCTCAGAGAAGGAATTCAGGTTATGCTCTGCACTAAATTAAAGTGTTATGCTCAGTTATGTACATGTACAGCTTTGAAAACTGTTCCTGCTTCTAGGTCAAGGGCTCTCCCTATGGCCGGGTGCCAGCTTTATCCGTGGACTCCCATAATCCCTTGAAATAAATCAACTTTCCATTGAAATCCTCTGCCAGTTCCACTTCAGACCAAAATGTGCTGTCTGTAGCATGATGCTCTTTTATACTTTTGTGGAAACAAAAAAAAAAAAAGAGAAGAGAAACAATGTGGTCATTGTGTACTGGATACAGTTCAACGTAACCCACATTGTGTATATCAAAGGCTATCTTTGTATGTTGCACTAACCCCAGGTTTCTGCTTTTATTATTAGAACTAAGAAAAATACCTTCAAGCAAAGGAATAACTCAAATGGTTGAAAAGGATCCCAGCTTGCATGCATGTGCATGTGTGTGTGTGTGTGTGCATCCCATTACTACGCTGCTCACGTGGACTGAAGTGTGTGGATGCACTATACTACTTCCCGGCCTGGGCAGATGAAGCCCTCAAAGATCTTTTTTCTTTCCTCCTCTTTTTCTTTCCCCCCTCTAATATCAATTTGCTTCTCTGTGTGTTATAAATGAACCTGAATACATTCACACGTTTCCGTGGAAGACTAAAAGCTGTCACTTCATTTCGGGGAACCAGGCGGCTTTAAACTCAGCTGCAAGAAAGCCCAGATGCTACTACATCTCTGGGGGAAACTTATCTATTCAAAAAGGGGGAAACTTCTGAACAATAACAACAAAATAGAGCTTAAAGATGCTGCTGCTGTTCTACTGCTGGTGCTGAGGTCAGTACTTTGGAGAGTGGGTGCCAGTCAGAAGCTGCAACACTCTCCTCAAAAGACTGACATTTCTGAAAAGCTCTGCTTCTCCCCAGATCTCAGTAACTTTAAATGGTCTGCCAGTTAAATCAGAACAGCCTGGTATAAAGCCTCCCATTTTCTGACAACCTTTATGTTCTCTTGGCTCCTACAAGGCCCTAAAGCTGATCGTGTATAATCCTGAACTGAATGTAAAATAAATATGAAAACCTGTCATGATTTTACCGTTTTCCAAAGGATATTTCACTAAATAAAAAGAGCTCCATTTTTGGCACACAAATGCTCCACATAAAAATCGCAGTTCTTTAGTTCTTTAAAATAAAGTTACACAATGCAGTACCAGACTCTGCCCTCCAAAGTTCCCCCCTGAGCACTGGGGAGCAGCTGGCTGCATCCCCAAGAGCCGGCTGGCCTCAAAGGCCCTGGGCTCCTTTCTCCTGCACAACTGCTGTGTGAATTGGGGTGATGACACTGGCCCTGACCCCTGAGGGTCCCTCCAGCATAGAAGCCAGGGGGAAGTTCCCGGGTGTCATCTGAACTGGGATACAGCCCATAGTGGCCAGCTAAATGCAGCACTGGCAATTGCTTCCATGCTTGTGGTGCAAAAACAGTCTGAACAAATTATGGCCCAGAGCTCACCCAGCCTTCATGCCCTTGAAACCCGTTGCTTAAGAAAACAGCAACTGTTTGCGGAAATCTCTTCTGCTAAGCCTGCATTATTTAGCTATCTACATTAGCTGTGTGTCAAGGCGTGGGCTATAAGCTGGAGTGTCCACAGGACTAAAGCACGGAAATGAGTTTAAACCACTGACAAACTAGAGCTGATTTCAGGCTCCACTGGCTTTTCAGACTTCAAAAAGATCTGCAGGTCCAGAGCACAGCTACAAGTCAGAGACAGACACATCTGTTTAGAAAAGTAGGACCCAAGCACAGCAATCTGGACAAGGGATACGAAGTGCATTTTGACTGAGGCTATGACCAGACTAACATATTTGCCACCCATCAGGAAATCTAAGAGACCCATCCTGCAAATCTTGGGGTAGCTCACAGTTGAAAGCACTGCAAGTTTTGTTTGCACTGTACTGTTTGGGTGGTTGGGAGGGAGGAAATGGAGGCAAGGCAAGGAATCAATTCAAAAAGGGAAAATCTGTGTTGTCACTCACAATGTTTCCAGGTTTGTCTGCGGAGATCTTCCATCCAGGGCAACTTGCAGGTTTTTAATTCTAAACACCTGCCTCTCTTATATTCTCCTCTTGGAACAGGGTACAGGCAATTGAACTGAATATAAAAACCACAAGTAAACCATACACCTAGGGCTCTACTTTTAAATCAGACTGAGTGAAACTATCTGGTTTTCCCCTATAAAACCTCAGTGGACAGTTTCTTCAATTAGCTTCACCACCTTCAGGCCTTCCCTTTAACTGAAGAGTGCAGCTGAACCCAGAAATTCAAAGCAAAACTCAGCTGAAACCATTATGTTTCATCTGGTTACATGTCAAAACCTCAAACTTTGTGTACACAGGGCTCAAATTATAAACCCATCAGGCTCATCCCCAGAACTGGACCCAGGTTTGCCTAGAGAGCCTGTGAATCTTTTAGAGAAGCTGATATGAGTTTCAAGTTCATAATGAATTGCAAACCCCGAGTGGGCCGTGCGACTTTTCCAAGGTCAAACAGTGAGTTAGAAGGGGAGTTAAGGAGAGAACCACAACCCTGGCCACTTCACACACTTTGCTACCAAAGGTAGAAACTCACTCTGCTTGATCTTCACTCTGTATAGCCTCCGCCAAACCACTCAAAATAACCACTTTTTTTTTGCCTGTTAATTGTTTTAATAAGTCACATGGCAATGGATGACTAAAAACTACCTCATCTCTCTAAGGATTCAGCTGCGGAAAAAGCATCCATTTAGCTGCAGGGTAGTTATTACTGCATCGCTTTGATTTTGCTACACAATGCACACCCTGTTTATTGAAATGCTTACATGCTGCTCTGGGTGAAATCATCATCACTTACAGGTATACTCTGAAGCTAAAGAAATGAGCTCATATCCACACATCTAGACCCTAGATGAGCCCTGTCCACTTATCTGGATCTCCACAATGCTCTCGGCTGTTGGTCAATGCCCCTGTGGACATTTTTTTTAACACTACCCAAGACTGCATCTAAAACATGAAAATAAAATTTCAAGGTCAGAAAACACAATTGCAGTTAGAGTACCTGCCCCTACCAGTAAGTCTGCTGACTGCCACGGCACAAGGCTAACTGGAAAGCACTGGGATGATTTCAAGTTTATAGTATAACACAGGATAGTCCTTTTGTAACTAGACCATCATGCAGTGGTTAGTTACTTGCCTGTTTCATATCAATACTAGCAAAGCTTTAATTCTAAGACTTTTGGCAATACCACAAGCAACTGTTCCAGGAGCTAGGCTTAATGCTGAAATACCATCAGGGCTGAGGATTGCTACATATTGCTTTCTAATAGCCCCTGCTGTTTGACACCTGGAATGACATTAAGGAGCCTGGCACTGTATATAGAGTTCTCTACCAATAACTGAAAGTGCTTCTACAAGATGGGAAGAAGACGAGGGGGATCAGCATTCAAGGACTGAGTCTGTTTAAGATATTGAAAACATTTTTGTGGGGTGAGACATCAATATTTGAAAAGTAAGGTATGGCTTATATATACACAGCAAAAAACCCTGCGATTCCAATGCATACCTTTTTCCTGTTCAGGTTAATTAGGAGGTTGCTGTACTCCCAGCTAGTTTTGCTTGCAGGCAAATTTCTTTAGAGCTCAGCAGCCAGGATTATATATAGGGCTAAGCTTTCCCACCATATCACTCTAATATTAAAAGAATTTCTCTGGCTTCCTGTTAAACCATGAACTGATTACAAAATTCTTTTGCTTATTTAGGGCCAGATTCAATAAAAATTCTGTCCAGCTTCTGCATCATGGAAGGCCACAAAAGTCCTGAAATATTTTGGTTTTGAAGCCTGTGCAGGCTTCCATGGCTGGGATGCTGGGTAGCTATTCCAGTCAATGTGGTCCTCATAAAGCTTTTTAAGGTCCTGCTCCATATGGACATACTGATTTCTCTTTATTCTTTCCAGTGTGGATTACAATCCACTTCAGAGAATCTCTGATTTATGCCTCTAGCTACAAGCTAAATCCTAGAGGAATAGGTCCTTTTCATATCAGGTCACATCCTCTGCAGAACACTGACAGAGAAATTAGTGTTTCTGAAAAGAAAGCACCACTTACAAAAATCTGGTATATTTTGCAAGCTTTATATGAATATAAGCGAATGGTGAATCTAAAAGGAAATTCAATAAACTACTCATTATCTATATTCATATGACTAAGCTACACATGGAACGTAGCTTTTATCCTCCATAAAAAATGTACAGATGTTCTATAGAAAACTGTATGAACAAACTTTAACCTCACGACTGCTATTATTTTGTAATAAAAGGCTTACAGCATAATGTGAGCTTTTTTTAGAATTTAAGTTCCATGTGAGTAGTGTGTTGTTAATTTAATATTAATGCAATGCACCAGGAAGAAGTCTGCACAGAATCTCAAAGAGAGAGAATCAGAGTGCTGCAGACAGGAGATTTGTGGCATGGATTTTATTTGTTTCAGCACTCAGCACAAAATTCATTGACCAGGATTCCCATTGCCACAGGGCAGTGGAGTCATTTATAGACATTTTCACATGTCTCGGCGTGAGGATTTTGCTGCAGCATTCCCGCTACTGTTCCTGGGAATCATGTGGTTAAGTCACCTTGCACTGCACTGAAAATTTACCTCTCACTGTCAAGTGCATATGAATGAGCTGCTTTTTTGGGAACAGCAAAAGAAAAAAAGCATCCACTGAATAAACTTTTGAATTTCTTTTACTAAACCATCCTTCACGTAGCAGGTGCAAAGGCTTTCACCAAACTTGCAGTCTGCAAATGCGGCGCTCATTTTGCTTGCACCACAAACAAGTTAAAGCGGGGGAGCAGAATAGAAACCCAGTTTCATCCATACAGTCTCCCTCTCCCAGTACCTGATCCCTCTCCCCTACAGCATCTGCCATTCAGAATACCTATCTTCTATTTCTCCAAGGAGTCAGCTCACCGTCTCATCTCCCAATGCATTGGTGAAGTAATTTATGACTACCATTATTATAATCGCTTAGCAGCTCCCAAGCATGTAAAAATAGCAACAATAATCTCTCACACTTTTCCTTCCTTAGCACCCCACAGGAGAAAGAGTTTGATTAATCCTGTAGGGGTTACACATGCATTTGTGTGTTTCTATAACTTACAGAGGGAGTTTGATGTTTTCTGAAAGCAATGAGGTCTACAGACATCTTATTCATTGTAGAAGTACATTTCCTCAGTCTAGATACTGCTTCTGGGAAAGTCCTGTGCCCAGAAGCATCCTTCTGTCACTTGACAGTTTTGTTGCTTCTGTGAAATGCCCTCATGTGCTATCATAAAGGAAAGCCCAATCTCAGAAATGGTGAAGGCCATTTCCTTGGAAATCTCCCAGGATCAAATTCGAAAACTCCATGCAATGAAGCAGAACTTCCATTCATAGCAGAGAGAAAAAAAATGGGGAGACATTTGTGAACAATTTTGAATTTCAAAATTTGAATTTCCTATAGCAATAGGAACAGACCTAGGAATAGCAATATAGCAGTGGGAATAGACCTATAGCAATGTGTGCATGGTAAACCAACAGACTGCTCCCATTTTTTCCAGTTTTCTGAGCATGTGATTTCAAATGCAGTTACCATTTTATATGGAACATCATAGCTGCACTGCACCCAACAGAGTGAAGACTACAGTCTGGTCCCTGTGAAATGGAGATGGAGCTTTCCTATTTCTGTGCATGTTGCATGGACAACTACTAAAGCCCAAAAATTCACAGAGGCAGAAAAACACCAAAGGATCTCAGCACTTGGAATGGTTACAGAAGGAAGAATTTCAGAGTACTCCTCAGTTGACATCTAGGTCTAAACTGCTAGGAAAATGTTGATTAGTTTCTCTAAAGCTATGATTTTAAATCCATTTTACTTAAACCGGTATAGAAGACAGGGTGGACATTCTCATATTTCAGTGTTAAACCCTGTCCGTTTTGCTTTAAATCTTTTTAGGAGCTGATTTGGTATTTGCAAATAACATGGTCTTAAGCTAGCACAGTTAAATTGTTTTTCACGTGATTGTAAGTAACACTGATGAAGCTATTTAATTCAACTGAGATCT